AGTTGTTCACGTACATCTTCAACACAACAGAAGAAGATAAAAAAATTGCGAAGTTACTTGGCGGCCATGATGCCGACGCAAACATAACCCCACTCGACTTGTCTCACTTCAACGCCACAGGGCGAGGGAAGATCGACTTCTTCAAAGCCCACTTGTTCAGTGGCTGTACGGGGTTATCCAACACTGTGCTCATGTCAGTCCTGAGGTTGTGGATGCCCTGTGTGCTTACCTAATCAAGGCATTGCCCCACTTCCAATCAATGAATCCAGAAGCGAGTTGACCAAGCCATGCCAGCGTCCGGTGTTGATCTTGCAGAGATGGCGTCTTGGGCTATCCACTTGGCACAAGCTCAAACAACGAACACCTCAGAGCAGGATGTTCGAAGCTCAAAGTACCTCCGAATGATCGAGCACCAGGCAGCTGTGATCGACCAGTTAATCGACCACACAAAACAATGTCCGAACGTATTCGAGACGTCGAGCAACAGGTTGGCTTGAAAACGTCTCCGGCGAGTCTCCACCTACCAAGTCACTGCTGCCGTGAGTCTGAGGAAGAAAAGCCAGCAAAGCGCTGCAAACGCAAAAACACCTGCCTCTGGGAGTGTTGGTACGACTGGTTTGTAAACCATGCGCACTCCACCGAACTCGACAAGCAGTGGAAGTCCACGATGCGGCGCTGCGTTGCCTACATGCTATTGTTTGCCGACAACCTCGATGTAGACGAGAGTGCAGCGACCTACCTTGATACTGTTCTTGCCGATGGTCACATTCTGCCAGCAAAGGTACTTGCGTTTCTTGTGGAGCGCAGTGCGTCAACATCGTCAACGGGGTCCGTCGAGCGCAAGCTACGCGCTATTCACAAGAAAGGAGAGCTGAATGTGTTCATTGTCGAATTTAATGCGCGCGTCCAATTAGGTCTAATCGTTGACCCTACACCGCAACCAGAACGTGCAGTTCTCAAACCTAGTATTGCAAGTTAAAAGTACATACCAAAACCCCTTCATGGGAGCGACAGTCGTCGAGGACGGCTCGGGCGTGGCTGTGGTCGTTGAGGTGGTGGCTGGCGCTAGAGATGAGAATAAAGAATAATTTGCCAATGTATATTGCATGCTACAGAATTACCGTGAGTCAATTGAAAAGTAATATGCGGGACACTGTAGTTGACGGGGATTGGACACGCTGTCCACGAGCGACTGAATGCAGTGGGCATCGACGGTAGCAGGTGAGCACTCGGTTGGCAGCGCTGTTCCTATTTACAGCAACATTAACACTCACATACATACATCAAAACTACCGTTGACATCG